CCGTGGAAATCGCCGCACAGGCCGACGTTAATTAATTAACCCTTTCCCACCCCTCCTGACAGCTCCTTTATACCGATTTGCCCATTTTTCGTACCTTCCCTACCATTTCCAGGGAACGTCGCAATTCTTAACGGCGGACTATCGAGAGAGGACGGTGGAATTGATTTTTAAACATTATTTTAATGGATTAGCGGTAAGGATTTATTAAACGGGGATTTCTTAGGGTGGGTTTTTTGGGGGAGGAGAAAATCACGTGGATATACAGGGTGGCTCGTTTAGTCGAGGACGAGAGTTGCACAATGGGGTGGTTTTCCGGGATCTGCGAAGCGCACAATGACCACTCATTAATTTCCTCTCCTCGTCCTTATCGAAATTCGGAACAATGGCGGCTCTTCTTCATCCCCCATAACGTCGGATAGTCCTCCGATATAAACTGCAGATTTAATCGAAGTCTCCTCGACGGCCCGGAAGTCCATTGGAGGGGCAAGTAACTCTCGAGAAGTGATTTTCAAATCTGTCGGAATGATTAGTAAGTGTAAATGTAATGACGTTAATTCGGGGATAGGGGGTGGATTGTTAATTAATTGTGTGGTGGGGTTTAATAGTACCCGGTGACTTTTGAAGCGAGATTTAGAGGGCTGCGTCGACATTTCGGGGGTTGAGTCGTTTGCAGTTACTTACCAACCAGCAGACCAATCGCTGAGAGCTTCCAGCTTTCGCCCTCCACCTAGAGGGATGAAGTCGGTAAGGGAGGGACCGTCCGCGAGGCGGTATCCTGCCTTGCCGGCCGAGATATACGTTTCCAGGGGTGAACTACCCCTCCGAACTTCTCTCCGAGGGGCTCCATTTGGACCCTTCAGCTAACTATCGCGAGATCTTCATTAAATCACTGGGCGAATTCAGGAATCTTATCAAATTACCGATAACCTCGAATTTTCCCGACAGGGGTGGAGGGATCCAAGCGGCTCTCGGCGAAGCTCCACTTTTTCGGGAAATTGTGTCAGGCTTGTCCCAAGTTTGTCACTTCGGATCTTATCCCGGGTCCCGAGGTCCTCTTTTTGGGGAGGAAGAGAGGGCAGAGAAATAAAAATACGCCGAGGAAGTCTCGCGCGGTCTCGGCCATCTCGCTTTTAGCCCGGCCTCGTTTGATACAGGTAATTGAAAGTAAAGCCCCGAGAACTGGAAAGTTAAAGCGAACTGGTCTGCCAGAAGTGGAGGAGGAAGAAGGAAAGTTGGCGGACGAGCTCATCCCGGTTTAATGCCACCGACAGCTTCACCTTTGCTCTCGGTACCACCCCCGACTCCCACGACCTACCCCAACCCTCGAGGCACCCTCCCTCTATTTCTCATTCGGCCGCGAAACTTACCCCCTGGGAACTTTCGGGCACCCTGCAAGTCCCCCTGGAGGAGGGCTCTTCATGGTAAAACACGAGTTTACCCGCGGATAGGGAAGGGTGGGATTTTTACCCCCGAACTTCGGGAATCCCACTTGTCAGGGAAATTTCATTCATCCCCCGGCTTCCACCCCAACCCCTCGTCGCGGCCTTCCCTCGATTCTTCATCCCCTGGAATTATCTTTTTCCTTCCACCTACAGCCTCGACTTCTCGGCGCCACCTCTTGCAATTGTTTAACAATCCATTTCGCGTAATCTCCCCCGATAGGGGGAAGAGGAGTAAAAAAAATATATATATAAAAAAAAGCTATTCGGAAGATGTCGCGTTTGCGTTTTTTAGCGCTTTCGGTGGACGCGCCGGCTGGCGGTGATGAGAGCCGATCGATCGCCCCCCAATATGCCGATTGGTGACAAGTGGCGGCGATTCGAAAATCCAGCACGGTGTTTTTCGAAAGGGGACCTGGCCTCGAGTCGATTGATAACGAATAGCCAGTGTCCCATTTTTATGTCAACCGCATAGCCGAGTAGCTGTGTGTTTCGCGGTTAATCGCGGATTCTACGACGCGTCGTTTGGCGGCCATGTCGACCAATTATTTTCGGCTTTCATGGCCTTTATGGCTTTCCATCCGGCTCGGTTAGTCCTCGATATACGGCCGTATACACGCCTGTACTCTACAGGCCGGTTCATTAATGTTTATCGCTCGACGTGTCCCTCTCATTTTTGATAACACGACAGAAACCCGGCTTTCGGATTTATCCTTCTCTTTTTTCCCCCCTTTTTTCCCATTTTTTCTCGCGACCGGCAGTTTCAAAAAACGTGTACACCGGTCGATTCGTTAGTGCTCATGGCTCGACACGCCCGTCCTATTTTTTCGGGGCCCACGGAAATAGTCGACCGGGATTTTTATATTTTTTATCCGCGGTTTGGATCAATTCCTTTTTTTTTTCCCACGAATTTTGTTCGAAGTCGGGAAGAAAGGGAATTATTCTACGCATGTTCCTAGCGCTTAAAGCGTATGTGGTATGTAGGAAAAAAGATGTACGTATATATATCGAGGGTATCGGAAAATGGCGGTCACGGAATGGTGGTCGTGGGGGGTCCTTAAAACTTGAAAAGTTGGAAACGATCGAGAAGTTGCCCCCCTAGTTTCATAACGTCGACGTGCTCTCGAAAAGTGAGGCTAATCGCCCCCGAGGAAACGCACGGAGTTGGATATTTATTATTCAAGTCGAAGTGTAGAGGGAAAGTTATGAAAAGGAGGAGGAAAGAAAAAGAGAAACGGGAAGAGGTGGGAATGCCGCGGGTTTCCTCCCGGTCGTCGTTGTTTAGTGGAAATTAGGGATTTTCTGGGGTCTCCAGGAGGGTGGCGCAACTTTCCACTGCTTTCTTCTTTTTCGTTCGGTTTTTTTTTTTATTTCTTCTTTATTATTCGTTCAAATTCAACGGCGGATCGATTACAATCGCAAGTCGGTACGACCGACGTATGTGATATATTGCATGATCGCTTAATATTTCCAAAATATTAGGCATATTACGTAGAAGTTACAACGAGGACGTGGAGTGTCGAGACTTTCCTTGCAAAAGTCGCGGGTAATCCTTCGAAGGTCCTTTTCCTTTTTACAAACAATGAAAGTCGAACCGAGAGCACTACTATATTTTTTCTCTTCCTTTTTTCGTTTTTTCTTCTCTCGAGTCTTTAGCGGAAGATATGCACTCCCAACGGGAAAACCACACCTCGCCGTAATTATAATAATTACCGCTGGCGTATTGAAAACCAGAGGAATAATAACAACCCTGTGAGGGGAAATTTCGAAAAACCGGGGAAAAAAAAATAAAAGTTCCTCCCGAGAGGATGGGAATTTTTGGCCGCCGAGTGGAGGCGTATTACCACACGAATTACAGAAATGATAACAGTGCGCCCGTTTCTTTCTAATCATTCCACCAAGATATGCAACGTTTCTGTAATGTCTCAATACGCGAAATCCGAATTCCAAGCCTTAGCAAAATACTTATTCAACGAGAGATAGACTTTTGCAAAAATCCCGCGGAGTCTTGCCGGGATTACACACAGTACCCCCGGGAAGGATTTTTATTAACGTTTATATGCGTTTATATGTATGTGGATATATGCCTATGTATATATATATATGTCCGCAAGTAAAGCACTGCTCGCCCCGCGAGGAAGTCGCGGGGAAATTGCGCCGAAAATGAAAATCCGAGACGCCTTAAAGTCGCCCGGAAAAGTCGCTAGCCGAACCTGTGAGATGAGCGCGCGCAATTGTTTATTTACAAAGTCCCTTGATTCTACCTAAGTCCATATATAAATATATTCATATGTATAATTAAAACGCGCGTGCGGGCCGCCATTTCGATTTTTTCTTTTTCCCTTCCACCGTCTCGGCATACCGCGTGCCACGTTTCTCGCAATTCCTCATCCGTACATTTAATACGCGCACCCCGGATACGAAGTTATAATAAATCAACGTGACGTCACGCCGGCGAGAGGGCATTTTTTAAGCGCGTTGGAAGTTTGTGTGGCCCCGTTCGGGATTTTTTATTCGAGTTTCTTTCATTTTTTCTTCGGACCCGCGGAAAGGGCCACGGGATTCAAAATGGCCGCTCGCAGGAGCCGTGACGTCACAGGATCACTTATCACATTGGTTACGGTGCCGACTAGCGTTGACTATACTTCCGCGATTGCGAAGCTCGTCGCGAGACTCGAAACACGGGGTAAAAAAACGAATTTCGGATTCGAGGGGCCCTTTTAGTCCGCCAATTTGCATATCTTTTGATTCCCCGCGTTTCGAGTCCTCGAAACGGGCCTTTCGGCGAGCTGTTAGCTGGACCTCGGCCCGAGGACCCAAAACGACGTCCAAAAGGTGCGAGGAAACATTTCGAGCGGCACCTAATCTGGCTTTTCGACGCCCTAGTGAATTTTCATCCAGAACCTGTCGGACGCGATCCGAATTCGAGGGTGATTTTTTGTAAAATCGAGGAAAAACAGGAAAAATCGGCCGAGGGTCAAATCGGGTGGAGGTTAGGATGGTCCTACGACGTCAGGACGTGGTACCAGAAGGGATGTTTAAGGGAAAATAAACCTTAATGCTCTATCGCTCCGAAGTGAGTGGCCTAGTGCACATATTTGCACATCCTATCCTCGGAATGCAGCCCCTAGTAATATCGCAAGCATCCCCCAATGTTTGGCCACCCTGGCTGCGGCTCAAGTCCCAATTACAAGGCGCCGGGGAGTCTCAATTTCCCCCAGAACTTCGGATGCCTCTAGGACGTCTGTACGTCCCTATGTAATTTCGGAAACGCGGTGTAAAGCAACTTATGGCAAGTAATTTCTGTTGTGTGTGAACCGGGGAGCCTATTGTGGATGCAGCGCCAGAGCCGAAATTCCCCTAGGTCCGCAGGACGTCCACGAGCAGGGATGTGAAAGGATGTCCCGGTAACGCGTAAAGTTCGACCTCCCCGAATGTCCCTAGAATGCGAGGGAGAGGCATCGTGAAGGCCCACCCGAAGGAGCGTAATTCCCTAGAGTTTTCGATTTTTACGGTCCCGAAGATGAGGCGCGAGATGGGGCGTCGTTTTACGGCGGAATATCGTATGCCAATTTCCCCTAGGCTTTTCGAAACCGCTCCTTTCGCGACGCGCGAGAGGTTACGGTGTCTCGTAAGGCAGCGCCGCGATTGGCATCCCTGGCTCGTTTCCCCTAGGTCCTTCGATATCCCTAGAGTGGACGCGAAGTGGACGCCCGTGGGAACGGAGTAGGCTGGAATTCGTCATTCTCCCCGGGATGGGGTGTAGTCATTAAAAGGTTACTTCACGGTGGAACACAGTATTCGAATTTCCCCTAGGCCCCCTAGGAGTCCGTGGGGTGTCTTCTCGCGTCCATTAGAGGCCCATAAGACGTCCGTGAGGGGACATTAAGTCGTCGCAGAATTCTCCCCTTCGTATTCATCTTCGGTACTAAAATGGCACTTGTTAATAAAGTTTTATTTTACCGTGGGACGTGGCGCGTCACCGTTTCCCCCAGACCCTCTGCATACGTCCAGCGGAGGTCCATAATGGGCCCGTAAAAAGGCCCGTAACTCGGCGTACCTCGCTTTTTAATACCCCGGCTTTACCGCCCCGAAGCAATATTACTTAATAAAATTTTATTCCGCTAAGGAACGCGTCGGGCTTCAATTTGCCCGGGCCCCTTGAACAGCCCTAGGGTCCCTAGCCACCGTCGCCGACGACACACGAGAAGTCCGAAAATCAGTTGAAACCCTTTCCTAGATTCCCTAGTCTCCATTTCCGGCCACGCCGAACCTGGAAATCCACTCGAAAACCAGGCGATGGGAAATCCCTGTGAAAACCAAAAATCCCTAGCTCCACCCCAAGAATCCCTATTGCCTCTCTCCTTCGACCACCGGGAGAATCTTCGACTTTCCTCCACTTTTCCCGAGATCCATCGGCACGATCTCGTTTTCCCCAGTCCCTGGTGGGGGAATCCCCGCCTATGACCTCCCTGAGGGAAATCCCCTGGACCTAGACGTCTTTTAAACCCATCGTCAGCGGGCGGCGCGTCCACCTCCACAGAGCATCCTCTTGAAGGCCTGCCTGAACTCTGGGGAGAAGATCGTGTAGATGACCGGGTTCAGGGTGCTGTTGAAATACCCCAGCCACAGGAACAGGCTGGCCACGAAGTCGGGAGGCTCGAGGGGTGGATACAGGGCCTGAAGAAGGGCCGCCAGGAAGAAGGGCAGCCAACAGACCACGAAGGCACCGGTGATGATGGCCAATGTTTTCCTGGCCTTCCGTTCCCGCTTCGCCTCGATCGTCTCGCGCGTTTTCTTCGTCACCGTCGTTGTAGTCGCGCTGCTGATGGTCGTCGTCGTGGTGGTGGTGGTCGTCGTCGTCGTCGTCGTCGACAGGACCGAGGTCGTCGACGGGGCGTTTGCGCCATTGTAGGACGAGGACTTCTCTGGTGACACGGATGAGTGGTCTGGGGTTGATCTGGTTATGGTGAACGCCGTGGACTCCTCCCTTGGCCTGGTTACACACATTCGACAAGGCATTCAAGGTCGGGTTCGAATCTTCCACTTCTTCGTTTCTTTTCTTTTTTTTTTTTCAAACAAATACCCTATAAAATGACTAGAAATAATTTTTTCTTGGGGCAACCAAGAAAATGAAAATGGCAACCTTCTGGTGACCAGCCTGAGGATCCTCCTCCTCTCCCGTGGAGGCTGCACGATGGTGCCGGGCCTCTTCCTGATGCGTCTCCTGGCTGCCTGGAATATCCTCCAGTAGAGGAACAGGATCGCCAGGAGGGGGACGTAAAACGTCGCGCACGTCGCGAATATCTGGCAAACAGACAATTCCTAGGGTAAACTCGTCTGGGGAGAATCGGCGAGCCTGACCTAGCCCAAGTTCCCGGTCGACCTGGTCTCATCTCGGAATGAAATCTTTTCCCCTCGTCAGGGTAAATAGTGGCTCCTCGGACGGAATTCCCCTAAAAGCCACTTTACAATCAGTCAATTCGAAGTCAATTCCCCGGAAGTCGGGGAAGAATTGAATTTCCTAGGGAGATCTCCAAACTGTGTAGACGGGGACGAATTCGCGTTCGCGTATATGGGGGATGCACACCATACGCGGCGTTGTGTATAAATATATGTACATATGCCTGTGTATATACCTATACATGCGCATACAAACACGTATACCTAGAAATGCAAATTTCAGTCCGAGGGGGGGTTTACCCACTCGGGAGGGGTTTGAGCACACACGGGTGGAGGAATAAAGGGACCGGAAGAGAAGATGGAAGCAGACGGAGGGTGGCGATAATTCGATCGGTCTCTGCTAACATTCAATACTTTGGATTATCAGACCCGACGTCGTGCTAATCCACTAAACTCGAACCGCGTCGAGGAAACCCCCGGGAAAGGGAAAGCCTCGGCCCGGAGTGCCAAGAAGTTGAAACTCTTTGTCTTGATTGCGCGAAACTTCCCCCGACGGAAGTGGGTAAAATGGCACTTCCACCCCCGGGCGTACACCCGGAACCTAAATTGACGTCTTTGGAAACGACGCCGGGCGTTTAAACCACTCGGGGGTGATATTGGATTCATCCCCCTGGAAATTGTCACCAGGCCTGTATTATTCATCCTCGCTTTCCCGCGCGATCAGCCCCCGACAGAATTACGCCAAATTGACTCCACCCCCGGCGAGAAACCGGAGGTATTGTAAAAATAAAAGCCGAGAGATCGCGAGAATCATTCGGCGGAACCGGGGAGGCAGAAAATTGCGGATTTGTATGGGGAAGACGGCGGTGAGGGTTGCGGGGGTGGAGGGAATTTTTAGGGGGGTGGAGGTGGAAACATTGCGCAGGAAAATGGCCGACCTGGTAAGTCGGGTCCTGGGACACCAGACACTTTCCCTCGGCGATGCGATCCAAATATCCGGGGTCCTTCCACCCCAGCTGGGGCGCTAGGGACACCCCTAGGGACACCACCCACACCGCCACCACCAGGATGCCGATCCGTCTCGGATTTCTTGCCTAAAAGCAGAAACGTTACTGTACATCCTCGTCGACGACCTCGACGAAATGACGTCGATGCATCGACCGAAATGACAAATCGAAAGCCCCAACCACTCCAGAGTCATTTTCGAGTCGGTTAAAGTCATTTCGAAACCATCGAAAGCCCCTCCCCACGGTTGATCCTCATTCAGAAATCATTGAGAGTGACCAAGCCTTAAAAAAAAATAAAAATAAAAATAAAAAAAGGCAGAAGCACTGGCTGTATGTTTTAAATTATTTAATTATTTAATTCTCGGTCATGATGAAATTATCCTTCGTCCAGGATCTATTTCTCCGGGGGGAATTCTCGAGCTACATCGACGCAGTCTCTGGAGAATTCATGAAAATTCCGGGTTTTAGTGGCCGGTTATTAATTACTTTTTTGCTACCGTGAGATATTAGTTGGCATTTTTTAGTCGTCTCGACAGTGGGGGGACGTTAAATATGAAACTTCGGGATGGATCTTAATTATCAGCCGAAGTGGCCGGACCGTGATAAAGCCCCGTGGTCGGATCGCCGGAGGACCGGCCTCGGCATAAAATCGCGTTATGGGGATGGCCGCGTTATAAATAAACCGGCTGAAAGAGGGGAAAAGGGAAGGAACGTATAATGGACAGGTATTACTACATCGCGATGGTGCGCAATAAAGCCGGATCGGAATTACATTCGCGGCATAGCGCCGGATATTCCAAGCCGAAGAGAATGCGCCCTTCAATTGGAATGTTAGACCGGTTCGGCGTAGGAGTAATCCTAGATGTGTTAATAACAATATACACCGAGCATACCTCCCCATAAATATCGACAATCACGAGCAGGAGACGTCTGAGATATCAGCGACGCCGTAAGGAGGGATTTTCTCAAGGAAGGGAATTATTTTCAATTTTTAAGTCCAATGTTTATCAGAAATCCCAAGATTCATATTTCGCGGGCGAACTATGACATCGAGTACGTTTAAAGGCTCTAGGGACATTAAACTGGGATTTTCCACGGGAAGAGTAATGATTTTTCATGATTTTAATCCCACCGGTTGACATCGCCCAACGGGTGGAGGTATTTATCGGGGTTCATTTTAAAAAGGAACTAGGACCGACCCGGTCCACTTGATGAAATCCCCTATTAATTCTGCATATCTGTCCCGCCAAATGTTTCAATCAGTCGGAATTGGTTTAAAATTTGAAATTGACTCCGTTTCCCCCGGGAGTGGTCGCGGCCACTCGAGCCGAAAGTGCAGTTTAATCTCTTTTTGATCGAGTAGTTTTTCCCCTCCGCGTGTACAGTTGGCAGGTCTGATTAACCCTCAAATGTGGCCGAAATTCCGCGGGACGTTTTTATCGCGCCGAACTTCGAATTGGAAAAGCTCCAGTTCCCCGACTTCGGAGTCGGCACTTCGCTCGGGAATGGAATCGCCTCGAAATCGTGTTTCCGCGTGACAGGGATTTAACTGTTTCGTTTAGAAAAATTCCCTATGTGGTTACATACAGGCGGGCCACGTGTACGCGTTTCGTCGAACGAGAGTTCGAATCGAAATTTGAAATTGACTCGGATGGCCTCCGTTTTCCCCCAGAGAGCGGTCGCAGCCGGCCGCGATGGAAGTGCAGTTTAATCTCTTTCTGATGGAGCAATTTTTCCCGTCTGTGCATACGGTTGGCACCTCTGATTAACCTGTATGTAGTTGAGATCGGTGACGGCCCAGAATCTGTCGACCGCGATGGCCACCAGATGCAATATGGAGGCTGTACAGCAGAGGACGTCACTGCTGGTCCACATGTCGCAGAGCTCTGGCCCCAGGGACCATCCCGAGTTAATCTGCAACCACCAGAATATGGGAAACTACGTCAAAAATCCGCCTTTCGACAAGGACTTACCGCTACTCTACGGACTATCATGGAATCTTCCGTTGTAAGTACACGGGATAATTAAATATCATGGTTCCCGCTACACCAATGGATAGACGAGACAAAACGCCGACGAACACTCCTTTTCGATTTTTTTATACGATGATTAGTTCTCGAGTTATCGAGAGTGAAAGTGACGAGCCAGATGCGCGCGCATCGCGGGGAATCCGCGCTTCTGATTGGTCGCTTTCGATCGCCGATAGCTCGAGAACAGCTGATCATTTCGAAAAGTCGTTCGAGACTTTTCGCCGTGGTATTTAATGATCCGTCTTATGGTTCGATTTCGATCATTCTCGTTACGTGATATCAGCTTCAGTACCTAATTCGCAGATATTCTAATAACGCCAGGGCCAGGGGGCTAGTAATCCCAGGGGTCAATTAAAGTTGCTACTGTGAAGTGCGGCCGCTTAACTTCTCGCGATTTGAGGAAATTAAGAAACTTGGAAATAACTTAATTGAAGTATGATTAAGGTCATCTGAATTGGTAATCCGAGGGTAATCCCCGCTGACGGAGGCGCCCCCCGGAGTCGAATATTGTAAGTCTAATTACGTTTACTCGAAATCACCAAGTTATACATGACGCCGGCCCGGCGAAGGTGCTGCACCGCCTATTATGAATTTAAATATTAACGTTAGTCCCCGGTTAGTTTCCTGTACATAAAGTTGGCGCAAGTTCGGCCGGTCGATGGGAGGTTGCAGCTGCAAAATGGCAGAGGGACGAAACTTGTTTGGGAAAGTATAAAACTTTGTAATAATGTCACCAAGGGCCGGAAATGGCGGCCCTGCCGGTGGTCCAAAGCAATCTTAAATTTGAGCTTATCCAAACTTGCCCAGCCGACTGCCCGATAAGAAAACCCCTTGAGTCGCCATACTTTGTGGGAAACCAAAGCGACCTAATAAAATTCATATTATAACATTCGTATATATAAAATAATTTGAAAAAGCACGTTGATGGATTCCATTGCAAATGGCGTCCGTTTTCTTAATTTTCGATTCGAGACGGATGTTGCGAGTTGGGATCCTCAGGAAAATGGCCGGGCTCTCACAAAGAGGGAAACAGGGAGACGAGCAAGGGAAGTTCCCTCATTTTCCCATAAGGTATGATTGCTGTATAAACCATCCCCCTCGGCAGTATTCTCCGAGAAATCAGCGGCGATAAAAACGGCCGGGGGGTGGTCCTAACTGCCGAAGGAATACGATTCGATATCCGGGCTGCGTATCCTCGCAATAATTCAGCTTTACGATCGAAAGCAAAGCGGACGAGGGGCAGGAATTTAATAAGAAGCAAAATGGAGTCTTGAAAAAAGAAACGGGCGAATTCCGGCCGTGACCAGCTGGAAAATCCCCGCGGCGATCCGAAGGAAGCACCCCGAGAGGAGATGAATTAATGATTGGGGGTGGGTGGGTGGACCACCCCCCTTGCAGCCCCATAAACGCAGGTCCGGAGCCGGACCGCCCTAAAAAGGCCTCTTCCAGGCGGGACCTTCTCAGGGGATGAACGAACAATTCCGAGAGAAAGAACGAAGGAACGAGCCACCCCCTCGGGGGGTTGGGAGGGGATGATCGCGTGATGAATCTTCCCCAGAGCTCGGAACGTTGCCGATGGTATTTGCGGAGCAGGCTTAGGGCCGAGAACGGGAATAATTGAAACAGCTGGAAGATCGCGATCCCACCCCCGGGGTGCGTTCCTTCCAGGGGGTGGCCTTCGAAATCTCACCACCCGACATTCCGCGATCGGCTGTCGCATAACGATTGTACCTAGCGATTAATTGATCAAGGGGGTGGAGAAAGAGATACCGGGGAACGAAATTGCAACCCCTGCTCGGGAAATCCTCCTTCTTCTCCGTCTCCTTCGGGCCGATCGCGCGATAAATCTCCGAGGTCGCGGGGTGGGTGCACCCCCGGCAAAGAGGGATGAAACCCGGGATAATACCTCCGGAGTCCTCCTGAAGCAGGCTCGCTCTCAGGGTGCGAAACCGAGAGAGTAATCGCGTCCAGCCCGGTGCCTGCAACCCCCGAAAAGGGGAGCTATGTGACAACGAGAGGCAGTCGGGGGTGGGTCTCACCCCCTCCCGTTAAACGGATTCCCGCCGTCGCGTTTCCGTTTCAGACACGTCCCGACTGAAGTGCCGGACCTCTCGTAGGGGTTGTTCTTCCCGTTTTCGGTGAGGTCGAATGTCCGAGGGGGATGATTCTTCTCATTTTTAGGGTGGTCCAGGTATGACGAAAATACCCCGGTATGAAAAATCTATATTTCGGGAAAGGGGTTGGAAATGGAAATGAATTTTTGAGAGGGGATATTGTTGCATCTTGTCACGTTTGGGGTGGTTCGGCTCGGGAAAAAAAAGCCTCTGGGGTGGAATATCCACATTTTGGGGAAAGGGTGGTCGACGGGAATTTGTATAAGACCTGCAGCTGATAATCGGAGTAGAATCGACCCTCTGATACGGTTGTTTAGGAATGGCGGATGAAACGAGAAGGGTAAATGAGAACGGACGTGGCGGGGGTGTGTCGGCCGGCGAGAACGGGGTTAACCCCCGCACGGAGGGCGCGTAGAAACATAACCTCGGAAATAGAGAGAATATTCGAAGGGAAATGTCATTTCCTCGTGGAACGTGCCGCGTGTATTCGAATGAGGGTGGCTCTGTCCCTCGGTTTTCGGACTACGACTTCCGGCCCGAAACTGCCTCGCCCAGCCTTTCGGCGGATATTGCTTAATCATTTAACCGAGCTGGGATTAATTAACAAGCCCCCGGTAGTAACAACTGAAAATCTCTCTCCCTTAGATATCCCTAAATAATCCCCAACGAATAATCCCCCCGAATTCGAATTTCTCCCCCGTACGTTCCAAGTTTCCCAAAATCATGTAAAATAGGATCCCTAATTTTCCGCACCCCAAATCGTGTCCCCGTAATTAGCGAATAAGAAATAATAATTGTCGACGCGTTTCGATGAAATATTACTTTCTTTTGTTTTTTCCGAATTTTCTCCCCAGAATACGGGAAGTGTTGAAGACGCTGAAAATTCACGGAGACCAGTTGCACTCGCGCGGAAAATTCGAAAGAGGAGGGGTTAAGTCGCAGTCCATTATTTCCGCAACGTGGGGGTTGGGGGCGGCTAAATTCCGGAGGAAACCCCGGATAAGGGGCGAGGGATGCGGACGCGTCGGGGGAGGGAAACTACTTGCTACTTTGGCCTAGACTCGAACTGAATAGAGGAGAACTCGACTTCCGGTTGGGTTCTCCAAAATGGCGGCGAAGGCGAGCGGGCGCTTCCGCTCGGATGCACCTCGAAGTGGCCGAAGGGGTGGGAAAGCTAGACGGGGGTTGCTTACTAGTTATCAGGGAATTGCCTCCGTGAAACTTGGCATATCCGCCGTCAAACATTTCGCACGATTGCACGCACTTTGGGTCACGTAATGCGGAATATCAATTTATATGCATGCCACCCCGTGAAAGTAAAACCGTAGAAATTGAAGAGCAAGAAGTAGAAGAATAAATAGAATGGAGGTTTACCCCATTTTTCGGGGGAAAAAAAGACGCGTCCCTTTAGGAGGATTCCCAAGAAGTGCCGACAACTCCACTTCCGGCCGCGTTCTCCAAGATGGCGGCGGCGCCCGAACTTGCGAGGAGTCTGCTAACATTAGACGGGGTGGGCCGAGGAGTTACCGGGAAATTTCCTCACGCTAACAGGGGATGTATCAACCCTCGGGGTTACTTGATTCGATTACTGCCCAGACTCGGGGAGAAACGGGGAAATTCGAGGGAGATACGTTGACCTCCCGCTCGGAGTTTTCCCCAGACGTCGCGGATCTAGAAAATCCCTAGATATCCGCCTAAGGCTCGATTGACTGGATTACTCGTTTCTCTCTCTCTTCCTGGATAGGGAGAAGCGATCGAGCCGAATGGATTCGACGTCCTCCTGGTAATTCGAAAGGAAAATCCCGACATGACGGAGAGACCCTCCGGGCGTCGATTTTCCATCCTCCGCAAGGTCATTTTTTTAATTCCCAGCGCGACATAATTTTCCATCGCGATCATAGGAAGAATCGTCGGAGATATGTCGGGGGGGCTGTAATTCACGGAAATCCCGGAATCGAAAAAAGAGGAGTGGTCCAAAATAATGGGGTGTCTTTCTCGGGATTTATTCGACCGGATCGCTCTCCCGCCGAGAGGGATGGAGGACCACCGAGGCAGGAGGGAAATAATGACGTTCCTCCCGACAAATCGGGGGAATCAAAAAACGAAGCCACCCTGTATCTGGCCTTTTTCAATTCCCCCGTTCAATTTCCCGCCCCCTGCGTTGCATTTTCATCGACTGCGTCCCCGGATATTTCCGGCACGAAACGGAAACAAAATTGAAGTCGGGATTGGCGAAGAAAGGGGGTAGTTAGGACGCAGGGGTAGCGGCCGAAGGGGTGGTGGAAAGGTGGGAAAGGGAGAAAGGGAGACTTCAATACCGTGGATGGACTTTCAAGCAGGCATATATCAACCTACTTCGTCCATCTTTCTCTCTCTTTCCACCCCCGGCTGACCGCCCCCTCCCCCCGCGTCTCTCCCGATTTTCCAATCTACATTGTATATACTTCCGTTCGATCGCCGATAATAAAGTGGGGCTCCATTTTCGAGTTACCAAATTTCCCAACCGCGGGAAAATCCAGAAGATTAAGGGAGGCCGATACTCCGACGAGAGATTCCTCTTCCGGTCCGTCCCGATCTCCGGCGATGTATGGAAAAGGTGTCAGGTGGAGGGAAACCCGCGTTATACGCCGAAGAACCGGGGAAAAGGAGAAAGCAGGCGATCGTTCATCTTTTCGCCGCCCCCGGGCGAGAGGGTAACGCCAGGAACGTAAGGTCGACAGGGGGTGGAAACCCCGCCGGGGTTCCATCCCCCAGGCCCGTGGGGCATTTA